ATAATAATAAAAAACATTAATAAAAATATAACAAAAATAACACTAACAGTTCCCAACAATGGCCAAAACAACAGTTCTAACAACAACACTCAAGGACAACAAGTGAGGAACAGAAATCCAGCAGTGCATTCAACTAATCTCCTCTCAACTCCCTCATATGAACCCTCAGAAGACAGCACTGGTATCCTGACTCAGGTGCTAGTAACCATGTCACTTATAAGCTGTCAAATCTCAACCTTGCCTCTGAATACCAAGGATCTGAGAAGGTGCAGGTTGGTAATGGTAAGAACCTAAAAATCTCTCATATTGGAAATTCTATTTTGAGCTTTAATAACCAACAATCACCTCAGTTCATTCTTAAAAACCAACAATCACCTCAGTTCATTCTTAAAAACCTCCTATTTGTACCTGAAATCACTAAAAACCTCATGAGTGTCTCTCAATTGCCCTTGACAATCATGTATATTTTGAATTTCATCATATTGCTGTCTTGTGAAGGATCAAGCTTCAGGAGTGACTCTACTAAGAGGGAAAGTTAAGGATGGTCTCTATACATTCAACCTGTCTAGCTTCAATGGTGACTCCAGAACCTCTTTTCAACCAATATCTATCAATCATCTCCAGAAAAAGAATGAAGATATTGCCCTTTGGCACTCTAGATTAGGACATGCTCCATTAGACATTGTCAAAAGAGCCCTAACTAGTTGTAATCTTCCTTTTATTTCCAGTGATAATAAAAGTTTTTGTGAGTCTTGTTTACAAGGGAAAATTCATAGAATTCCTTTTCCTATTTCAAGCAATGATCACTATGAAATCCTTGATCTCATTCATACAGATTTATGGGGACCTGCCCCCATTAAATCCTTTAATGGTTTTCAGTACTATGTCAACTTTATAGACCACAAATCCAGATATTCTTGGCTATACTTGATCAAATCCAAATCAGATACCTATGATGCATTCATTCACTTTAAAACACTTGTTGAAAATCAATTTAACAAAAGAATCAAGTGTGTCCAAAGTGATGGGGGAACTGAGTTCAAAGCCTTATCCAAATTCTTTCTAACAAATGGGATTTTTCACAGAATATCTTGCCCATATACACCTCAACAAAATGGTCTAGCTGAAAGAAAGCATAGACACATTGTTAAAACAGGTTCAACCCTTTTATCTCAGTCAAATTTGCCTAAAAACCACTGGGATGATGCTTTCTTTACAGCAAGCTTTCTTGTTAACCGTTTACCCTAAAAAATCCTTGGATTCAAGTCACCATTGGAGTTGCTGACAGGCCATAAACCAGACTATACTCACCTCAAGGTATTTGGTTGCTTGTGCTTTCCTTATCTAAGACCTTACAACAAACATAAATTAGAACCTAGAACTCAACCCTCAACTTTTCTTGGCTACAGTCAACAGTATAAAGGTTATAAAGCATTGCTACCTAATGGTAAGGTCATCATAACCAGGCACATACATTTTGATGAAAAAATTTTCCCTTACCAAAACAAAAAGGATCATCATCATGACAATGAACCCTTTACACATTACATACCTCAACCTCCTATCAAAATAATTGCAAACCCAAAAATTCCTACAACTCAGCCTCAACCAACCCATTGGTGAGCTCTTTATATAATTATCAATTGCTAGAGAAAATGAGGTTCAAACCAGACCTAATGATGTTGAAGAAACTAATGAGAATGTGCAGGAAAACACTCATCATATGGTGACAAGGTCCAAGGCAGAGATACATAAACCAAAGGCTTACTCCCACAGAACTCTCAAGAAAAACATAAGCACACAATCTGAGCCAAGGAACATTGATGAGGCCTTCAACACTGCAGAATGGAGAGATGCCATGAACAAGGAATATCAAGCTCTCCTCAGAAATAATACCTGGTCCTTGTGTGAAGCTCCTAAACACAAAGACGTGATTGGAAGCAAGTGGGTCTTCAAGATAAAAAGAAGTGCTGATGGATCTATAACAAGGCACAAGGCCAGACTGGTAGCAAAGGGATACACTCAACAACCTGGTCTGTATTACACACATACCTACAACAATGTCATAAGGCCTGTGACCATCAAAACAGTTCTAGCCATTGCCTTGTCAAAATCCTGGAAAATGAGAGAAATTGACATTGACAATGCCTTCTCAATGAGGAGTTGGACACTGATCTCTACATGGAACAACCTTTGGGATTTGAAAAGTGTGATGACAATGGAAATCCTCTTGTTTGTAAGTTAAACAAATCCATCTATGGATTAAAGCAGACCTCAAGATTCTGGTCATCAAAGCTATCACAAGTTTTGGAAACTTTTGGTTTTCAGATGGCCAAGGCAGACTCTTCCTTATTCTACAGACACAGTCCCAACAATGTGACTTTTATTCTCACATATGTTGATGACTTGATCATAACAGGAAGTGATGACAACTACATTTAAAGGTTGATCAACAATCTTTCTCAAGTATTCTCTCTGAAGGACTTGGGAGATCTTAACTATTTCCTTGGTTTGGAAGTGATCAAGAATGAGAATGGAGTTCTTCTTTCCCAAAAAGGCTACATCCAAGACATATTGATCAAATCAAAAATGGAGAACAACAAATCTCTTAACACTCTAATGGTGAGTTCTCCTCTCACAAAATCAGATGGTCAACCAATAGTTGATGGTTACTATTATAGGAGTTTGATTGAAGCTCTTCAGTATGCCAGCATAACTAGACCTGATATTGCATTCTCTGTCAACAAATTAAGTCAGTTTATGCAAAATCCAACCAACACTCACCTGAAGGCATTGAAAAGGCTCTTAAGATATCTTTCAGGAACCCTTGATTTTGGATTACAATTCTATAAGGAATCTAATTCCAAAATTGTTGCTTTTGCTGATGCTGATTGGGCATCAGGTTTGGATGACAGAAAGTCAACATCAGGGCTTTGTGTATTCTTGGGTAAGAACCTGGTGGCATGGAGTTCTAAAAAACAAAAAGTTGTTTCTAGGTCCAGCACAGAGTAAGAACTCAGGAGTTTAGCCTCAGCAACTTGTGAAGTTATGTGGCTTCAATCTCTCCTTAAAGAACTGCACTTTGATCATAAATGCCCCTCCACTATATGGGTTGACAACATTCAATCTCTAGCATGCAATCCAGTGCACTTCAATCTCTAGCCAATCCAGCGCAACATTCAAGAACCAAACATGTGGACATTGATATGCACTTCATCAGAAAACAGGTTAACAAAAGTATAATTTCAGTCCAACATGTGCCATCTATTTATCAAGCAGCAGACATTCTTACCAAGCCTTTAAGTGGGCAATTCTTCAATCGATTTCGTTCACAACTTAATATCATTTCACAGTCGATGCTTGAATTGAGGGAGGATAAAAGCCTTGACTATCCACGTGTGCATGCATCCATGCACAAGCCACCATGTCACAAGTCCAGTCAGCAACCTTACCTGTCCATCACAGATGAGGAGAACGAGCTGCATGATCCCATGCAAAAGGACAAATAGCTGCAACTGATTTTTCCCCTCTGGTGTACTATTGCCTTAGGGGTAATTCCCATATTATTTTGGTTTTTCCCTATTTTACCTAGGACAGCTGTAATGGTTCTGGATAATTCTTTTCCCTTGTATAAAGCCACCTTAGAGGCTGTGAACAACTAATGCAATGAACATCTTTTAGAGAAATCAAAATCCCTTATATCATCTTCTCTGCAAAACTTTATTTGAAGCTTTTCTTGTCATGCTAAACATGGAAAGCTTTTAAAAACTCAAACAAAATATAATATAGTTTTTTTTTATTAAAGTAATATTTCTTTAACCTTCCATACCATGTTAGTTATAAGATAGAATAAGACTAGTATCGGCACATTTAAGTAATGTTTAAATAATTTTTTTTAAAATTTTTTTAACCTTTTATACCTTTAAAAATATATTTTTTTAAACTAGGAAAATTCAATTGTAAATCACAAGTATTACTAACAATGAAATTTAAGTGAAGCTTAATTGTTATAACTATGTTGTATTTCCATTTTAAAATTTTTAAATTTTATAGGATAAAAGTTGACATAAAATCTGTCCTCCCTATATATTATTCCCGAATGCGCTGAGCCTATGTAACTGCTTCTGGTGCTTCGGAATCCTACTTGACAAAGAATCATGCTTCGTAATTAAGTTTAGACAAATAATATTGATATATAAATAATTTAGGTTTGGACATTCCATAAATATTATTTAGCTAACTTAGGTATTTTAATATCACTTGCGCTAATATAACCCTTTATTTCTTTGTAATTTTATAAACTGAGGCACTAAGTGACTAATATATCCCTGACTTTTGATTTGTTTCCTTCAATTAGCTATTGAATTATCAATGTATTTTAAAAGTCGAAAAATTCTGTATTTCGTATCGGTTTTACATATATAATATATCAAATTAATCATCTTTTGATGATCTTTGATTTGACATTCATATTGTATGCATGAAATAAATAAATTATATTTATATTTATAATAATAAAAAATAATAATATTTATTAAAATTCATTAGAAAATTATTTCTCAATTGATATATTTATGTTTAATGGAGTTATATGTTGTAAGTTAAAAAAATTATTATAATATAACACATGTAAGTTGCACAAAAATATATCTCAACTTGATTCTTCCAGTTGGGAGCGATTCCGAATTCTTCCAGTTGGGAGCTTTGATCCTTGATTCTTCTTCTTAGCTTTTCCATAACCAGATCTCATTTCTTGTCTTGTTTCCTCCCCCTCATATCTTGTTTTTTCGCGATCTCAGCCCTCGTTTCTTCGCAGTTTTTGCAGTAACCCTAATTAGCGTTAATTTGGGGTTTTTCTTTCAATTCTCCATGGCTAGCGCTTCGAACTCCCACCACGACGAGGACTTGTCGCAGAGGATGGGAAATTTCTCCTTGTCTGAAAGAGAAGAGTTACTAGTAGATATTGCTAATGAAGATATCCGTGTAAGTGCCGACGAATGTCACCGCAGTTTATTCGGGAAAATTATAGGCGACAGACCTGCCAGCTGGATTGGAATTAAGCGCTCCATGAACCAAATATGGCGTCTCTCTCAACCGATGGAGGTCAAGGAACTCGAAACCAACTACTTCCAATTCATCTTTCAAAGCATGGAGGATCTAAGAAGGGTAAGCTATGGCACTAACTGGACCTTTGAGAACCAGTACCTGATTCTGCGCGAATGGAGGAAAGGTCTAAACAGCAAACATCACTGCTTCCAAGAACTTAACATATGGGTCCAGGTAGCTAACATACCGTTGAACTGGCTTAGCACAGAGGTCGGGATTAAAATTGGGAAAGTCTTCAAAGGCGTAGACAATGTGGTTATTACGAGCTTTGGCAATCACGGTGGGAAATTTCTACGTCTGCTGGTTACATTGGACTTAACCGAACCAATTCCCAGATGCTCCAAAGTTAGACTTGGTGAGGATGTGGTTACTATTAGTTTCAAATATGAAAAACTAAGGAACCTGTGTCACTACTGCGGACATATTGGGCATCTAGAGAAAGGATGCTTAAAGAAAGTTGATGACATTAAGTCAGGTAATCTCAAAGAAGGCCAATATGGCGATTGGCTTAAGGTCCCTGAAGGACAGTTATGGACCGGTAATTATCACCATAATTCTGGGTCCAGAAGCCCACCTCAAAGTCCCCGCAATTCTCAGCAACCCTCCTCTCCTGGACAATCGTCTCAGAATCCTGAGACAGCCGGACAATCAACTCCCAGGAATCAAATCATCATACACGCAGCAGACTCCACTCCTACTATTAAGTCATCTGTAATGGGCTCATCTACTGGCTCTCCCATCGCAAAGCACAAATCACCAGAGGTGTCAAAGCCAATATCTGCTAATGAGGAGCAAGTTAAGGCTATGGAGCTTGAATCTAGACCATTATCTACTCTTGTGGCTCCCCATTCCCAGGAGTCTGACAAAGGCAAAGGCAAATTAACAACCTGGAAAAGAACGGGGAATAAGATAGGCAGGCTGCAGAGGCTTATTGATAACCCCTCTCAGACAAACAAATTGTTGATAGGTAAAAGAGACAAACCAGATCAACCCTATGAATCAATGGAGGATGAGGAGCAGAATTCTCAGGGTTCAGCCATGAAAAAGTCAAAAGCTTCATCTGATAAGGTGGTGGTGGCCAGCCTCGATTGGCACCCGAGTTCCCAATGTTAGCTGCGGTGTGGAACTGTAGAGGGCTGGGTGGGCCCTCTACAGTTTCCCAAATCAGAGGGATTATTAGATCTCATCACCCAGTTTTTATTTTTCTGTCAGAAACAAAAAAACCAAATGCTTTTGTTAAAACCATCTGTAAAAAATTAGGCTTTGAGGATCGATTTTCCTTGGTGGATCCTCAAGGTCAAGGGGGAGGTCTCTTATTATTATGGGAACCATCTGTCTCAATTCTTCACATTCAGTCTACTTCTTTTTACATTGCTATCCACTTCCAACTTGCAAATTCTGAACCTCAATGGGGAATATTTGTGTATCTCAGTACCAACAAATCTGTTAGGGCATCTCAATGGGCTGATCTTGAAGCTGCAAAGACTGGTTGGGGAGACCTATGGTTTGTATCTGGAGATTGGAATGATCTCTGTTCCAATATGGAGAAAATGGGAGGTAATCCTAGACCCTATGGCAGCTTCTTGGGCTTTAACTCTTTCATCAGAAACATGGATATGGAGGAAATTAAAATGCTGGGACATCAGTTTACTTGGTGTAACAACAAAACAACTGAAGGCCTAGTTGAGGAAAGGCTAGACAGAGCTTTTGGCTCCATGGATTGGCATCAAGCATTTCCTAATGCCACAGTTTTGAACAAAGCTACTAGTTCCTCTGATCACTCTATTCTCTTGGTGGATGCTGGCTATCAAAAAGACAGAAAACCAAAAAGATTTCATTTTGACAAACGTTGGGTGGGCAAGGAAGGATTCTTGGAGGTTGTATCTGCTGATTGGAGGATCCCAGTTTCAGGCACACCCTTTTTTAAACTCAAAGAAAAAGTAAAAAACACCAGAACTGCACTCTTAATCTGGAGCTCCAAATTTCATACTCAAAATCAGCTTATCATAGCATCTCTCACTAAAAAGCTGGAAGATCTGAGAGCTCAGAACATAGCCAACAACTGGGATGACTGGAACAACACCAGAATTGATCTTCAAAAGGCCCATCACCAAGAAGAGCTTTACTGGAACCAGAAGGTGAGATTGAATTGGCTCAAACATGGAGATTCTAACTCCAAATTTTTTCATGCCTACACATTACAGAGAAGGAGGAAGAATGCAATATCCAGACTAGTGTCTTCTAGAGGTGAAGAGCTCACATCCCAGTCTGCAATTCAATCCCACATCTCTGATTTTTACTCTAATCTGTTCTGTTCTGAAGGCTCCTGGGGAGGTGACTCTGTTCTTCATCTGATCCCTAGATCAATCACCTCTGATATGAATACTTCTCTTATGCTACCAGTTGAGGAAGAAGAAGTGAAAACTGCTCTTTTCAGCCTTCCCCCAGATAAGTCTCCTGGTGAAGAAGGGATGAGTGCCTTCTTTTATCAACATCTCTGGTCTTTAATTCATGATGACTTGGTAGCAGCAGTGATCAATTTTTTCAGCTCAGGGCAACTTCTGAAATATTGGAACCATACAATCCTGTCCCTAATTCCCAAGTGTGCATCTCCTGACTCTTTAAGCCAATTTAGGCCAATCAGTCTGTGCTCGGTTGTTTACAAGGTAATATCTAAAATCCTAGCTTTGAGATTACAATCTTGTCTGAAGGATTGCATAAGTGATCAACAGTCTGCATTCATTAAAAGGAGGCAATTACTGGATAATGTTATTGTGGCACAAAAAGCTTTTCATTTTCTCAACAGGCACTCTTCTGGCAAAAATTTCTTTATGGCTCTTAAGCTTGATCTAGTGAAAGCATTTGACAGGGTTGAATGGCTTAGTATCAAAAAGATAATGATTCAAATGGGGTTTAATGCTGATTTTGTTAAACTAATCATGGCTTGCATCACTACTACATCTATCTCATTTAAAATCAATGGTGAAGTCAGTGGTTACATTAAACCCTCCAGAGGAGTCAGGCAAGGGGATTCTATCTCCCCTTATTTGTTTTTAATCATTTCAGAACTCCTCACTGCTTTGATCTTGGAAGCTTGTTCTTCTGGTAATCTTAAAGAGCTAAAACTGTCTCAAAATGGCCCTGCCATCTCCCATCTGTTGTTTGCCGATGATTCTCTACTATTCTGTAAGGCTGGAGTTGATCAAGCACATATCCTTATGGACATTTTGAGCAGATACAAACTATTTACTGGACAAGCTGTTAACCTGCAAAAATCTGCTATATTCTTCAGCAGAAACACTCCCATGATAATCCAATCCAATGTCTGCTCTGCTCTTCAAGGCATTCAATCTCACAGGTCCACAAGATATCTTGGACTTCCCTTGGGCATTGGGAGATCAAAAAAAGAAGTTTTTGCATATCTTCTGGAAGCAGTTCAGGGCAAACTGCAAAGCTGGAAGGCCAAACTCTTATCTTCTGCTGGTAAATTAGTATTGATGAAAGCAGTGCTGCAAGCCTTGCCTATTTTTACCATGTCCTGCTTCAAGTTGCCTGCTTCCATCTGCTCTGCTATTTCTAGTTTGTGTGCAAGGTTCTGGTGGTGCTCTAATTCTGAAGAATCCAGAGGCATACATTGGAAGAGTTGGGACAAAGTTGCTATTCCCAAGCTGAATGGAGGTCTAGGCCTCTTAGATATCAAACTCTTCAATGAAGCTCTTATCTGCAAACAACTCTGGAGAATCACAAGCCAGCCAAACCTTCTTGTAAGCAGAGTTCTAAAGGAAAGGTACTTTCCCAATTCCTCTATATTTCAAGCTACTAAATCCAACAGAAGCTCTTGGCTATGGAATTGCTGGCTGGATGTTTTACCTTCCTTTACTAAATGGCTGAAAACTGAGATTAGAAATGGAGCTTCCACTAGAATTTCTGACTGCAATTGGGTTCCTACCTTATTGAAACCTGCCCCAGAAATGCTTGAAATTGCTAGGGACCACCTCATTTTTGTTAAGGATTTGCTGCAGACTGATGGCTCTCACTGGAATGAATGGCTAGTGAAACAAATTTTTAATGAATCAGACAGTGCTGCAATTTTGAAAATCAAAACCTTGAGAGCTGACTTGCCTGACAAACATTACTGGGCCTTGGACAAGAAAGGGAGATTTTCAGTAGCAAACACATATGCTGCCTTGGTTGCTCAGAAAGTCAGAGTTTTGGATATGCCAGAAAGCAGCTCATCTCCTAATCCATGGCCTCTAACTCTCAAAAGAACTTGGTCTTTGAAAGTTCTCTCAAAAATTAAAATCTTTATATGGAAATGTCTAACTGGAGCTTTACCTGTTCTTGTCAATTTGAATAAAAGAGGATTGGACATTGATGTGATTTGTAGATGTTGTGGAGAAGCCCCTGAAACAGTTGAGCATGCACTCCTTCAATGCTCTAGAGCTTGTACAGTCTGGAATCTTGCACCAGTTTCATGGCCAGGCCTCTCTCAGTGCAGAAACTCATTCAGATCATGGTGGCAAGCCATTTGCAGCATTGATCACTCAGACTTAGCTGAAGAGAGGATCCAGTTGTCCACTTACCTCCTTTGGTGGCTCTGGAAGACAAGGAATCACTGGATCTTTCAGCACTCAATTCCCCCTCCTCACATTGTCATTCAAGCAGCAATGTCTGATTGGAGGGACTTCCAGGCTGCAGCTTAGTTATTTTTAGTTCTTGTTCTTCTTTGTTTGGGTTTCTGTTTTTTG